GTGAGTTCTTCTAACAAATTATTGAACCTGAGAGGCATGGATCATGGGAACTCCTGAATTTGTAGTTGGCTGGGCAGCACTGGGGGAAGACTGGGCACCCCATTTGCAGCCAGCATCTGAGGTCTTAACCTGCGGGGTCCGTGCTAACTCTGGAGGGTTAGTGTCAGAATTGAATTGAGTTGCTAGACACCTAGCTGGTGTTGGAGAATCAGAGAATGAGTTAGTGTGGAAAAACTATTTGATGTCAGGGGAGGAAAAAACTTTCACCCCCCCAATAATATTTTGAATAATTTCACTATTCTTGGTTGCTTTATAACAAATATTTGTCAGATATTATTTTATATGAACTTTTAATATTTATCTTTTTTAATCTTTTTTTAAAACTAAATTTCTTTACTTATATTTTTTATTTTTGGCCACACTGGGTCTTCATTGCTGCGCGTGGGCTTTCTCTAGTTGCGGCGAGCGGAGGCTACTCTTTGCTGTGGTGCACGGGCTTCTCATTGCGGTGGCTTCTCTTGTTGTGGAGCACAGACTTTAGGTGCACAGGCTTCAGCAGTTGTGGCTCACGGGCTCTAGAGTTGCGGCTCACGGCATTAGTTGCTCTGCAGCATGTGGGATCTTCCTGACCAGGGCTTGAACCCGTGTCCCCCGCTTTGGCAGGCGGAGCCTTAACCACTGCGCCACCAGGGAAGCCCATTTTCTCATCTTTTTAATCTTCCTTCAGAACCGCATGATTAGTGTTACCTTATATTTTGATATATTGGCTTTAGACCCATCTTATTACTCTTCTGTAGAAAAAAAAAAACTTTGCTTCTCTAATCTTATTTCTTCAGAAGACCTTTAGAATAATTGGATAAAATTCTTTAAAAAATAATCTCATTGGGATTTTGATTGAATTTGCATTAAAACCACAATGGAACTTGGATAGAATTAACATCAGCACAACATTCAGACCAGCTATCCAGGAAAATAATTACTCTCAGGTATTCAAGCATGCTTTAAAAGATACATTTGGGCCTTAGGGGTACGGAATTGGATTACTCATAGCCGCTAGTCCTTGGCACACACTACAGTTATGTGGGCACAGTTATTAAGCTATTATCTCTTGGTTTCAAATTCACTCCCTTGTGAATCTGGGACTCTGGGACACTGCAAACCGCACTTCTTCTTTGCCAACTGGCTGTGTTCGACTCTGCCAATAGGGGGCACCAAAGGGACTGTAGAAGCCTGGAGGAAGCAGTGGGACTGGGCTCTTCTGGTTTGCTCTCTGCTTATTTCCTGTCCGTTTCTTGTTCTCATCAGCATCACCCAGCACAGCTCCTTTACCCCAGATGAGGCAGTTCCTTCCTGTAGCAGCTGCTAAATCTAGTTGGCAGTTTTTCCAAATCTTGCACACCCTCACAGATGCCAGCACCATTTCAGGGTGCTTCCAAGGAAGGTCCTAGTCCCTGGTGGTCCTCTGAGGTCAGATACACCTGCACCATCTGAACAGTCCCCTCCTCCTCATGGTCTGAGTTTCATCTTCACTGAGCCTCTCATCCAAGTGTTTAGTTTTCATAATTCTAACCTATATCCTTTGTTTTTCCTGCACCAGGGGTGTTAGCTGCTTCATGATCGCATAGGGCTCTCTTTCTGCCTTTTCAGTTACCTGGTTACCAACACTTCATACCTAAGTAAGATTTCTTTATATGAAATCATCTCTGTGAAAATAACTGGTGTGATTTCTGTCTCCTGAATATATCTTTTTTTAAAAAAACATTTATTTATTTATTTATTTATGGCTGCGTTGGGTCTTCGTTGTGGTGCACGGGCTTCTCATTGCTGTGGCTTCTCTTGTTGCAGAGCAAGGGCTCTAGGCGCACAGGCTCAGTAGTTACGGCACACGGGCTTAGTTGCTCCGCGGCATGTGGGATCTTCCCGGACCAGGAATCGAACCCGTGTCTTCTGCATTGGCAGGCGGATTCTTAACCACTGCGCCACCAGGGAAGCCCTCCTGAATATATCTTGGCTGACATCAATATTGGCAAGAAGCAGATTGTCAAAAGATGGGGTTTGGAGGTGGTTTAGTTGTTTTTTAGGATTTGAACGTAGTGATGAGCTCTTTGCCAAAAAATGGGATGCTAGTAATCCATACTCTGCAGTGGCATCATGGTAAATCATATATTAGCATCCATGTTGACTGTGATGAGGTTCCAACTGAAATAAGTGACTTGGGGGATCAAGTAGCTACTGCAATTAACCTTTAGGGCACTAAAAATGCCCTAAAGGTTACTAAAAATGGGCACTAAAAATGGCCACAAGGATAGTGATATTCAGTTGAGTCTTTTACCATGTTTACCTTTTTTTAATTTTAATTTTTAAAATTTTCTATTTTTTGGCTGCGCCATGTGGCTTGCAGAACCTTAGTTCCATGAGCAGGGATCTAACCTGTGCCCCCTGCAGTGGAGGCATGGAGTCTTAACCACTGGACTGCCAGGGAAGTCCCTCAGTTGAGTCTTGACTGCTATGGTTCTTGGTGCAAAGAGTAACCTCAGGAAACAGATCCCCAAAATGGGATTCTGGGATTAGGTGTTCATCTGCTTGAACTTCAATGAAATGATATCTATGTAGGGGGAAAATGGGATTACAGTTATCCCTAGAATACATTGTGTCTAGGAGGAATATAAAATGTTGTAATTCTGGTTCTTTTACCCATTAACTATGTATCCTTGTGTAAATAATTTATCCTCTCTGGACCTAGTTCCTCCTCTGTAGCTTCCTCAGTTCAGGTTGCAGGTTGCTATAACAAAATTCCAGAGACTGGGTAGTTTAAACAATTTATTTCTCACAGTTCGGGAGGCTGGGAAATCCCAGGGCAAAGTGCTGGCAGATTTAGTGCCTGGTGAAAAGCTTGCTTCCTTGTTTGCAGATGGCTGCCTTCTTGCTGTATCCTCACATGGTAGGGAGAGAGATTGTCTTCTTAAAAAGGCACTAATCCCATCATGAGGCTCCACCCTCATGACCTCATCTGATTACCTCCCAACGGCCCATCTCTAAATACCACCACATTGGGGATTAGGGCTTGAACATATGAATTTTGAGGGACACATAGAGTCCATAGCACTATATAAAATGAGAATAATTATTCATCCTCTGAGAGATTTTAGATCCCCCAGTTCCCACTGTCTTGTTGGTACAAACAGAACCACATTAATAAATCTCATACCTGCTATCTTCAAATCTATAAATCAATTGGAGAGAAGTAACATCTTTATAATGACATCTTATAAACCATGAATATGGTATAACTCCCCATTTGTTAAGGTCTTTAACTTCTCGCAATAATATTTTAAAGTTTGATGTAGAGATCATAACTTATCTTTTGTTGGATTCCTAGACATTTTTTAGTTTTATGCTACTTAGAAATAGCACCTTTGAAAGTTTTTCATTTTCTAAACTTTCATCACTGGCATACAGAGATAATTTTTTTAGTCACCTTTTATTCAGCTTCCTTGCTAAACTCACTGATTTTTAGTAATTTATAGATTCTGTTGGATTCTCTCTGATTATATGTACCGTTATGCCATCTCAGAATAATGATAGTTTTCTTCCTTTCCTATCCTATAGTCTCTCTTTTCTTACCTTATTGCAATGGTATTAGAAAAATAGGGGTTACCTTTGGGGTAGAAGGAAAGGGTAGTGATTGAGGTTCAGGGAATGCTGGTCAGGTGTAGTTTCTAAATCTTGGTGGTGGTTACACAGACATGTCCACTTCATGAATTCATTGAGCTGTTCACTTTTTGTGTGTGTGTGTGGTATGCGGGCCTCTCACTGTTGTGGCCTCTCCCGTTGCGGAGCACAGGCTCCGGATGCGCAGGCTCAGTGGCCATGGCTCATGGGCCCAGCCGCTCCGCGGCATGTGGGATCTTCCTGGACCGGGGCACGAACCTGTGTCCCCTGCATCGTCAGGCGGACTCTCAACCACTGCGCCACCGGGGAAGCCCTAAGCTGTTCACTTTTAACTTGTGAACTTTTCTGTTTATATTTCAACTGTACATTTAAAAATAGTATTAGTGTGGTGGTTTAAAATATATACACAAATTGACATTCTCTTCAAAATATGTCTGCAAATTCTTTGACACACCCTGTGAGTATGATCTGGACTTAGTGACTCAGTTCTAGTGAATATAAAAAGAGAAAATGTTGGTATGCAACTTTGAAGACTCGGTCATTAAAGGCATCTTAGCTTCCTGCTTGTTCTTAGACTGCTTGCCCTGGGGAAAATTAGCTGCCAAGAGAAACTGAGGCCTCCAACCAAAAGCCATGTGAATGCGCCATCTTGGAAGTATAACATCCAGCCCCAGGCAAGCCTTCAGGTGACAGCAGCCCCACCTGATATCCTGACTGAAAACTCTTGAGGACCCCGAGCCAGTACCATCCAGCTATGCCACTCCCAGATTCCTGACCCTCAGAAATGTAAGATAATATGTTATAAGCAGCTAAGTTTTTTGGAGGGGAGGGTAGTTTTTTTACACAGTGGTAGACAATATCACTATCTAGTAAAAGTCATCCTAAAAAATGTTGGCTTGACAGGCTCAAACTGCACCACAGAACCTTATTTCTACCCCCTGCCTCCTTTTCAAAGAACTGTACTGGACTTCCCTGGTGGTCCAGTGGTTAAGACTCTGAGCTCCCAATGCAGGGGGCCTGGGTTCGATCCCTGGTCGGGGAACTAGATCCTGCATGCCGCAATGAAGATCCCACATGCCGCAACTAAAAGATCCTGTGAGCAGCAACTAAGACCCAGTGCAGCCAAATAAAAAAAGCAAATAAATAAATAAATATTAAAAAACAACAAAAACCCAAGAAACTAAAGAACTGTACCACCACCGACACCCTGTTGGCTGAGGACCAAGTCACAGTGAGCACAGAGGCTGGTGCATGGTGCGTGTGCAATTTTCCTGGCCCTCTTTTGGTGCCGAAAAGGAGATGGAATTCATGCCAGCATGAGGGGCCATTTATTGCTCAGGGGTTGGGCCCCCACGTTTTGGGGGAGTTCCCCCATCACTTCCTCCCCCCATTGTCCCCATGGACCCCTCGAGTGGCAGGTTGCTGAGCTGATCGTGGAGAGAGCACATCTTCAAGTGTAGATAGTCCAGAGCGGCCACCTTCTCCCTGTAACGAGAGAGTGGGCAGTTAGTACTTGGGAGGCCCGATGCCTCGGGGCTGGTGTGGAAGCCGGGGGTGACTCAAGCCCTTTCCCCAAGACCTCACCCTCCTCCCATGCCCTCAGCCTCCTTCCTCACTCCGGCTTCATCTTGTCCGTCAGCAGCAGGTTCTTGGCCCGCAAGGCTTCGTCTTGGGCCAGCCGAAGGGTGGAGCTCAGGGCCTCTGCCCTGACGTGTTTGGCCAAGGCCTGGCGCTCCAGCTCCTGGGGAGAGGAGTGTAGGTGCTGCTAGGCTTGCTGGACTGGGCTGGGAGTGGAGGGGGATCTGGATCGTGGAGGGCAAAGGGCAGGGTCCCCTAGGGCCCGCATTCCTCCCCCAGAGTATCCCATCATGCCTTGAGCCTGAGGCTGACCCCAGCATCCCACAGTGCACTGGGCCTCCCAAGTCCCATTGTGCACTAGACTTGTGTCTGTCCCACTGTCTGTCCCCTACTGCACTGGCCTTCTTTGTCCCTGTAAGCAGTAAATCAGCATCTATCACATTGTCCCCTAATGCCCATGAGCCATCATGCATTTGATGTCTGGGCCCCGGTATCCCATCACATGGGGATCATCTACATCCCATAATTCACATTATGGGATGTGACCCCCACATCTTATCAATTAGGCCAGCCTCTCAGTCACAGTAATAGTCCTCAGTGCTCTGGTTCCCTATATCCCACAGTGTACCAGCCCCCATGTCCTATCACGTCTTAGTCCTCTAGATCTGCCACATGACTGTCCGTTACTGCCTCATTTGTCTGTTTCACCCACTACAACTCATATCCCATCATACATTAGGCCAATATCCCATAATATACTAGATCTCTATGTTTCAGAATGTACACCAGCCTCAAGTTCCATCAGTTATTGGGCCTGAGTCTGTGTGCAATGGCTCACGAAGAGCTGTGGTTCCATTTCCCATAATGCATTAGCTCACTGTGACCTGCTATTCGCTGGGTCCCCTCTCTGATCTCAGTGATCCCATATAATGCATTGCCTCTCTTAAGTCTCACAGAAAATCAGGCTTATATTCCATGAAGCTATAGACTGGTGTTTGTCTCCTCTGTCCCACAGTGCACCAGATCCGTGTCCCATCATGTTTTGGGCCCATATCCATCACCCAAGCTTCCACAATGATTGACCTATGACTCACTAAACACCAAACAGCTCCCCTCTCACCCCGTCCCGAAGTATTAGAGCCAATGTTCCCCCAACACCTCCTGCCCACAGCTCATCCTTCCCATCCTGCCACACACCAGAAGTATCCTTGTGCCTGGGGCTCCCCCGCCCTGCCCTGACCAAAAAGTGGGGCATAGTGGCCCATGGTGCTTGGTACCAGAATCTTCTTGTGTAGCCTCTGGCAGCTGGGGCAGGCAGGAACCAGGCCCCTCTGCCTCACCTCGTCCACTAGCAGGGTCAGCGCTCGCTCCAGCAGCTGCTGCGAGAACTCCGTGGACAGCTGCTGTCCCTGGCTGGGGGAGGGGTAGTCACCAGGTGAAAGAGGCCTCGGACCAACTCCATTCCCAGGACACACCATGCCCATCTCCCCAGCCTCCACCCAGGTCCCGTTTCCACCATGCGCCCAGGCAACCTTCCCACCATGCACTGGGCCGAAACTACAGTTCATCTGGTATGCTCTGGTTTCCGCAGCGTGGGGAGATCTCACAGTGCCTGGGGATTTCCACCACACGGTCCTCGGTTCATCAAGAACTCACATTTCCCACAATGCGCTAGTTAAAACCGATCCCATGTTGTATTGGAAATGCTCTGCACCCTTCCTAACACAGATCAAGCATGGTATCTGTCGACTTCCGACACCCCAAGGTCTCATTTCCCTACGATGCACTGAGAAAACCTGCCTCCCACCCAGTACCACTGCCCAGCCTTCCCACAATGCACTGGAAATCCAAGATGCTCGAAACATATCAAGTCTTTCTTGCGTTCCACAAGACACTGACTTCACCTTGTGGGGGGGGAAGAAATGTGACTCCCATAATGCCGCGAGACTGCCTCATCCTACAATACATGGGGATGCCCTGTCTCCCACAATGAATTTCCCTCTCCACTCTTGCTAAAGTCTCATCTCCTTCAATGCTTGGTCCTCAATACGATGCAGAATGCACCTGGAGCCAGGCGCTGCCCCCTTACCTGGCACAGCGGGCACAGGAGCCTTGGGGGGCCCGATCCAGGTTCATAGAGAGGTCAGACCCTCTACGAGAGCTCTGAAAGTGCCGCCCAAGCTCCTCCAGAATCGGTTTCACTGGGCCCAGCGCCTCCAGTTCGCTTCTCAGTGAAGCCACAGACACTGCTGACCGCTGCACCCTGCGGTGTGAGAGTAAACAGTACAGTGAGGTCGCCTCTCCAACAGTATACAGGCATCCTCCGATTTTTGAAAGTTCGCTTTACCCCACTTCATTTTTACAAAAGGCCTACATTAGTACCTGTTTTCACTAACCAAAAGAAGTCCGAAGAGGATTTGCCCTTTTATGAAAAAAAGCGCAAAGCATTTGTTTTGTAGCAAGCTGTTACAGAAGCAGGACACACTCCAAGCAGCGAGAGGGGCGCCACCAAGCCCCTTCTCTGAGAACTACACTCAGTGTCTCAGCACCAAGCCACCATAGCTTTGAACTGTGTTGTCTATGGGCACCTGTGCTTTATCTCAATTTATTTTGTGCATCTGTTAGCAAGATGTATTCTAAGGTAATTGCTTCTTCGCTTTATGCTATTTTGGCTTACCAAAGGTTTCACAGGAACTGCTCTACTTTTGGATGGCAGGGAAACCTGTAGTGCCAGCAAGGCTCCACCCCAAATTAGCCCAGCACCTCTGTCTCCACCCAGTTTTCAATACCCCGCTCTGCCTTGCCCCCTCTGCTCTGATTGGTACCTCCTTTTGCATTTTATTGCCGGGAATGTACCTCCCTGTTCTCTAATTGGTTTCCCCTGTTCCAACTTGGCTCCGCCCCTTGTCCTTGTAAGGTGTGGAACTCGCCTCTTCTCTAAGTGGCTCCGCCCCTCAGTGCTTCTTACGTATAACACGCCCCTCCCTACTCTCTAACTGGGGTTTCCACCTGTCAGTATATGCGCTCCACCCGATTGGCCCACCCCTTTCCCTCAAGGCTCCGCCCTCCCACGTCCCCGCCCCGTGCGCTAGTCTGGGTCCTTACATGGTGCACAGCTCTTCCGTCCGGCCCCGCAGCTCCTGCAGGCCCCGCGCGGCCTGCGCCTGCTCGCGCTGCGCTCGCTCCCACTGGCCCAGGAAGCTGTCGAGCCTGCCGCCTAGGCCCCCGAGCAGCCGTAGGGCCTCCTGCACGGCCCCCTCCTCCTGATGCCACCGGGCGGTCAGTGAGGACACCTCCCTCCTGTAGGGGTAGAGGTAAGGAACGCGTCAGGGCTAGGTTTGGATACGCCCCCGTCCGCCGCGCCCCGCCAAGACCACGCCCGTGGCTCCGGACCCACCCTGACCCCAAATTCTCCTGTCCTGTTCACTTATTGGGATCCTCTCATGTCCTCCAGAACCCTGCCTCTATCCCCTTATCAGGTATCCTGGCCTTCTCTCGGCCTGCCTCCCAGCCCCACATCAGCTCCTCCAGACACTGCCTCCTCAAGATACCGCTCGCGCCAACCCTTTGGAGTTGGAGCCTCCAAAGACCTGCCACGTTCCAAAACCCGCCCACCTCATTTTCACCAGACGCGGACCCCCCTGCCACCGGCCCTATGTTCAAAACTCGGTTCTTCGAAGTCCTGCCCTTCCGGGTCACCGCCCCCAGAACGCTCCTCTTCGAGGGTCCACCCCCTGGGCCCATCCCAGGATCCCACTCACCTCAGCTCCTCAAGGTAGGCAGAGACCTTCTGCAACTCCTGCTCGCTCACGATGGGGCCCTCCCCTGCCCGGGGCCCCATTCCCCAGCCGCCTGGGGCCAGGCCTCGCCGTCGCGGGGATTCGTCGGGGCTCCCTGGCGGGCTGGAGCAGCCTGGGGGCTGGGTGGCGAGGCCCATGCCATGGCGGGAGAGGCCAGCCTCCAGCTTCTGCTCCAGCCCCTGCAGCTCAGCCTCCTGCCTCCTGGGCGTCTCATCCTGCATCTGGAGGTAGCGCAGCTTCTCCTGGGCGGGGAAAGAGGGCAGGGTTACTGCGTCCGGCCCCTTGCCTCCCACCACTACCACTGCCTCCACCACCAAATCCGCCCAGTGAATTCCTGAGGCTGGAAAGTGAATGGATGTGGACACGGGATATCGGGAAGTCCCACCTGAAGTCTTGATGGACTCCCGCTTGCTGTTACTAGGGAGGGATGCCCCATTCGAAGCCCAGCTGGAGTCCAACTCACCTTGGACTGAATGCCTGCCTCTTTGTCTCCATCTATCCCTCCACCCTCACTCTAATCCTCGAAGGCATCCAATTCCAGTCCCTCCTGTTTAGGAAGAATAGCTGAAGCTTTTCCAACATTTTGGTGGGAAATGAGTGGGTATGTGGGCAGGACAAGCATTCCCACTCCAAGTCCGATACGAATCCCTTTCTCCGGGACTTGAATATGACTGTGCATGGAAAAGTATGACCATGAACATGAAGGGGCAGTGTGGTGGTGGTGGTGGCAGGGCGAGAAGTCCCACCTGAAGTCTACCTCAAGTACCTCGGTTACTTGAGTACCTTCCTCAAACCCTTAGATCCCTCCCCCTTACCTCCAGCAGGGCAGAGTTCTGCTTCAGGACGTTGGTTTTTATTTCAGCATCTTCCACCGACCGGGTCACCTTCCGGCAGTTCTCCTGGGTCAGGACACCAGGGCAGGGCCCCTGCCTTCCCATTCCAGTTCCGCCTCCCAACCCTTACCCTCGCTATTTTCGATATAGCCTCCACCCCCCGCGTTTAAGGCACGCCCCCTCCTTCCGCAAGGTCTGCCTTCTGCTTATTGGTCTGCCCTTTCCCGGCTTGGTTCCCTTGGCTAAAGAAATGGTTCTTCCTCGGACCTCTGCCATACTCCTTCTCCACTTCACCCCACCTCTATCCTGTCCACCACTCCATTCCGCCCCTCTTCCTCTCACCGCCTTCCTACTTCCGCTTCCTACTCCCGCCCCGTTCCTGCCCCCCAGCGGCTCACCTTGAGTTGACTACAGTACCCTCCTAGTTCTTCCGCCTCTTGCCGCCTTCTCTCTAGATTCTCACTCAGCACAGAACACTCACTCTGGAGCATGGAAGGGAGGAGAGGTTAGCCAGGGCCTCAAGGAGACACCCCGTGGGGAGGAGAGGTGGGAAGCTTCCTTTCCCTTCTGAGCCTCATTCTCCCCAACTGGGCTATGGGTGCATTGAGTTGGAGGATAGCTCTAAGAGGGCAACGTGACCCTGGAGGAAGAGGAGATGTTGCGGGAGGGGGCGGGTGGTCCTCACGACCTGCAGCGTCTGCACGTGCTGGTTAACCCGGGTGGTCTTTTCCTTCAAGCTGGTGATGGAATCTTTGGCGTGGACCAATCCACTGTTAACCCAGCTCTGGGGAAGAATGGGAGACAGGTGGGTCAGTGGGTGCGTGGGAGCAAACCCCAACCACAAGAGAAAGTCTAGAACTAGCTTTACACCTTGATTCTGCCCTGGAATAGCTGTGGAATTTGGGGCCAGGGCTGCGCCTCTTTGATTCTTGGTATAAAACCAGGGGGCAGCCTCGTTTTCTGCTTAGCGGATGGCAAGAAAAATAAGTAGGATCCAGGAGGGAGTCGGGGGTGGGAAGCTCAGACATGGGGGAGAAGGAGGATGGTCTTAACCTGAGATAAATGCCTTTGGGGTCCACATACATAAATAAGATAAACTGTTAAAACACATGCCTGTCTTTCCCTCCAGGCAGTGGAGAATTCTAAAGATAACCCACTTTCCAGATATAAGCACTCACTATGCACCAAGCCAAGACCTTACCCACATTTTCCTTTTTATTCCTCACAGCCACACCTCTTGAGGTTATTTGCCCCATTTTGCAAGTGAGGCAAATGAGGCCCAGAGAGGGGATGTCCCTTGTACTCCCGGGTACACGAGACAGGAGGTGGCCTTGTCAGAATTTATGCTCAGAGCCTTTGTTTCAAACCATGACGCCATATGGCCTCTGTTCATTGCTACCTTATGTCACCATGAAATGCTTTGTGACTCCTATCAAACAAACTGGCTCAGGAGGGATGAATATCTATCATGGATCTCCACTCTCCCATTTCCACATTTATAGAAGAGTTAGCCTGGTACATCACTGCTCAGCCAAAGACGACAATTCCCAGCTGCCCTTACAGCCAGGTGTGGCCATGTGGAATATGAGTGGAAATAATGTAGGCAATTTCCAAGTCATGCCTTTAATAAAGAAAAGTAGCACACCTCCCTTTCTCTCTCCCTACAATGTTGATCGCTAAAGCCAGAGCAGCCATCTTGGACCATGAGATGGAGGACACAATATAAAAGAAAACTGGGGCTTCCCTGGTGGCTCAGTGGTTGAGAGTCCGCCTGCCGATGTAGGGGACGCGGGTTCGTGCCCCGGTCCGGGAGGATCCCACATGCCGCGGAGTGGCTGGGCCCGTGAGCCATGGCCGCTGAGCCTGCGCGTCCGGAGCCTGTGCTCCGCAACGGGAAAGGCCACAGCAGTGAGAGGCCCGCATACTGCAAAAAAACCAAACTGAATCCTCAACCCTGTGAAGCCGCCATACTTAATTCCAACCACTTATGAATACTTTTATACATGTAACCAAGAGAACATTTTCCATCTTGTTTAAACTATGCTACTTTGTACCTTTTTGTTACAGCAGCCAAACTTGTGGCTTAATAGCTGAGCCCCCAGAACACTGGAGCCTCTAACCTACTGCATTTGAAGAGACCTGCTATCCTTGAGACATTTATGTGAGCAACAAACTATCCTGCTTCCACCAGCTGTTTTGGTTTCTTTCACAGCTGTTGAACTAATACACAAAGAGAAAAGAGAGAGCAAGCTTTCTCCATTGTAAAATGGGAACAACTTCACATTTCTTGCGTAACTGCTCTGGAGAACAAGTGTGATAAATATTGTATTAAGGTGACATCAGCAAAATGGTGGAGTCGGGAACCCCCAAATTCCACCCCTCCAAACTGGCCAAAACTATGAGTCAAGTCATTGAGGGGATTATAACAATCATAAATATATATGCACCTAATAGAGCTTCAAAACACATGAATCAAAAACTGTTAGAATTGGGAATTCCCTGGCAGTCCAGTGGTTAGGACTCTGTGCTTTCACTGCTGAGGGCCCCGTTTCAATCCCTGCTCAGGGAACTAAGATCTGCAAGCCCCACAGCGTGGCCAAAAAGAAAAAAAAGACACTGACAGAATTGAAGGGAGAAATTGACAATTTAACAGTAATGGTTGGAGACTACAATACCTCACTTTCAAGAATGGATTGAACAACTAGATCAACAAGGAGATAGAAGACTTGGACAACACTATAAACCAACCAGACCTAACAGGCACCTACAGAACATTCCACCCAACAAAAGAATACACATTCTTCTCAAGTGAAATTAAATGTTGTTCATATGGTCGAGGACAGACCATATATTAAGTGACAAAACAAGTCTCAATAAATTTAAAAGGATTTGAAAACAAAGTATGTTTTCTGACCTCAATGACCTCAGTAGAATGAAATCAGGAATCAATAGCAGAAAGAAATTTGAGAAACTCACAAATATATGGAAATTAAACAACACACTCATAAACAGCCAATGGGTAGAAGAAGAAATCACAAGAGAAATTATACTTAGGAATGAGGGAAAATGAAAACACAACATACCAAAACTTGTGGGATGCAGCAGAGGCAATACTTTGAGGGAAATTTAGAGCTGTAAACACCTACATCAAAAAAGAATTTAAGGGCTTCCCTGGTGGTGCAGTGGTTGAGAGTCCGCCTGCTGATGCAGGGGACACGGGTTTGTGCCCTGGTCCGGGAGGATCCCACATGCCGTGGAGCGGCTGGGCCCGTGAGCCATGGCTGCTGAGCCTATGCATCCGGAGCCTGTGCTCCGCAACGGGAGAGGCCACGGCAGTGAGAGGCCCGCGTACCGCAAAAAAAAAATAAATAAAAGAACTTAAGGTCAGTAACCTGATCTTCCACCTTAAGAAACTAGAAAAAGAAGAGACAACTTAACCCAAAGCTAGCAGAATGAAGGAAATAATAAAGATTAGAGTGGAAAAAAATGAAATAGAGAATAGAAAAACAGTAGAGAAAAATCAACAAAACCAGAAGTTGGTTTTTTGAAAAGGTCAACAAAATTGACAAGTTTTAAGCTAGACTGACCATGAAAAAGAAGGAGAAGGCTCAAATTACTAAAATCAGGAAGGAAAGAGGACATTACTACCAATCTTACGGAAAGAGAAAAGATGACAAGGGAACACTATGAACAATTGTATGTCATCAAACTTGATAATCTAGATGAAATGGACAAATTCCTAGCAAAACACTAACTTAAGAAGGGCTCGGACATCTGGATAGACCTGTAATAAGTAAAGAGGTTGAGTTAGTAATTTTAAAACTTCCAACAAAAAAAGCCCAGATGGCTTCACTGGTGAATTCTACCAATCATTTGAAAAAGAGTTGCTGCCAATTCATCTCAAACCCTTCACCAAAAAAAACCAAAACAAAACCAAAAAAACCCAGAAAACAAACAAAACAGAAGAGGAGGGAACTAACTCATTCTATGAGGCCAATGTTACCCTGATACCAAAACCAAAGACATCACCAGATAATAAAACTACAGATCCATATTCCTTCTGAAAGCAGCCACAAAATTTTCAACAAAATACTGGCAAACCAAGTCCAGCAGCATATAAAAAGGATTATACACCGTGCCAAGTAGGATTTATCCCAGGAATGCAAAATCGGTTCAATGTGAAAATTAACCCATGTAACATTCCGTATTAGTAAAATATAGGGGGAAAAAACACAATCATGTCAATGAATAGAGAAATAGCATTTGACAAAATCCAATGCCCTTTCATGATAAAAGCACTCAACAAACTAGAAGCACAAGGGAACTTGCTCATCCTGGTGAAGGGCACCTACAAAAAAGAAAAAAGTTTAAAACCAATAAAACCCACACAAAACCATGGTGCTTTAAAATATGCCCACAAAGTTTTTGAGGCTCTTTTAAAATGTGCAGCCTTATTCCTGTCACTTGAGTGTCAGCTGGACTTAGTGACTCATACCTAGTAAATAGAATAAGGCAGAAGTGATGGTATGTGACTTAAGAAATGAGTTCATAAGAGGAACCATGTCTTCCTTCTTGCTCACTCTTACTCTGGAGAATGATAGTTGCCATGTTCTAAGCAACTACCTATGGAGAGGCCCGTGTGGCAAGGAACTGAGGCCTCCAACCGAGAGCCATGTGAGTGTGCCATCTTGGAAGCCCAACCTCCAGCTCCAATCAAGCCTTCAGATGACTGCAGCCCCTGCCAAAATCTTGACTACAACCTCATGAGAGACCCTAAGTCAGAACCACCCAATTAAGCCACTCCAGGTTTGTTGTTTTAAGGTCGGGAATCATTTGTTTCACAGCAATAGCTGTGATATTTTTAAACTGAAGACCCAACGGTCTTGGATTTTCCATAGGTAGCTGTTCTGGGAAACTAGGGGAGCAGGTTCTGGAGTCAACTCAGTTCTTCCACTTACTAGCTGTGTGACCTCAGGGAGGGGACTTCACCTCTCTAAGCCTCTGTTTCCCTACCTGTAAAATGGGGAGGGACTAACAACTACCTTCACAGGGCTGCTGTTGGGAGGAACACAGGCTAACACAGAAAGGCCCTTGGTCAATACTTGGGAAAAGAGAAAGTGCAGCTGGGGTCACTGGGGGTGAGTTTTAGCTTTACTGCTAGCCTTGGCTAAAAAAGCGAATGGCATGGTGGTGGTGGGGAGCCAAACCTGGGGATAAACCTCTCCTTGGCCATCCACATGCCATGCAACTGGGCAATCCAATTCTCCACTCCGAGCCTGCCTCGGTTTCCCTTCTTGTCAAATGGGAATGAGGATACCTTGCTCAGATGGCGGTGAGGAAAGGTCAAGGAGATGATAGGATCCATAAGCCAAGCGCAGTGATTAGTGTCAGCATCGTTAAACATAGAGACAACACGACAGGACCTACCAGGAAAGGGCTTAGCACCAAGACCCTACAGCAGCCTCAGGGAAATCTGTAGACAGCAGGACAAGTTCCAAGCAGGGCTCAGAAGACCTGCTCTGGTCATTTCCGCATGGAGGCACTGACCTTCCCCCAAAGCAATACTACCTCCTCAGTTGCATCCTTTGGCCTCATAAAGATGTCAGAGCTTAAGACAGGAGCCAGGGAATTCCCTGGTGGTCCCGTGGTTAGGACTCCATGCTCTCACTGCCAGGGGCCTGGGTTCAATTCCTGGTCGGGGAACTAAAATCCCACAAACTGCACAGCACAACCAAAAAAAAAAAAAAAAAAAAGCCAGGAGCCAAAGCTGTTTGCTTCACCATTCTTCTGCTGACCCTCCATCCAGTCTGGGAATTATCAGGGTCTCCATCGCTCCCAGGTTCTCTTCCTTTCCTCTCTAGTTCTCTGTCCCACCTCTCTCTCTGGTGTCCGTTCCTTCCTTCTCTGGGTCTCTGGCCCCCTCTATCTCTGGTTTTCTGTCTCTGTCCCCCTCCCCAGGTCCCCATCCTCCTCTCTCTGGGTCTCTGTCCTCCTTTCTCTCTGGGTTTCCACCCCACCCCCCTCTCTGCCCATCTCCAGATTTCTCTCCCGATGTAGCTCAGATGCTGTGTGCCAGCCTGTGTTCTTCCTGCCCACCTCCTCACGGTTCCTGCCCATACCCTAAGGTGTTGACTGACAGTACTTCTTCCATTTTATGGAGAAGCCCCATAGAGGCTGATGCTCCCCTGCAGCCCCACAGTGAGCCGCAGCTGCATCAGACCTTGATCTTGGCCGCCCAGGGCTCTTTCTCAGGCATCACAATCCTCTGGAGGATGTGACTCAGAAATAGCTCCGGTGGGAGGCGGACCTCTGCAGGTGCTGCCTGAGCGATGCTGGAAGAGAAGGGGAGGAAAGTGTTCTGGCGGGAGGGGATGCCTCCCAGGCCATCCATCCCACCTGGACTCTCTCTCTCTGCCTGCTGGTTTCTCTCCACCTGGTCCTCTTACCTTGGACCCTCGCCCGGCCTGCCTGCCTCCAATCTCTCCCCTCCAAACGTCTCCCACCCGGGGCCAGAGGCATCTTCTAGGGAAGGAAAGCATCACACTCGCTAAGCTTCTGGTCCTGACCCTGCTTCTTACAAGCTCTCTAACCTTGCAGGGGATCACTCCACCTCTCTCTACCTCACTTATTTTTGTTTTCATCTTCCTTGCAGAACCTCTAAGAGAGGAAAACGAGAGCCCCCCACCACCACCATAGGGATGTAGCACAGTGCCTGGAACATAGCATATGCTCAGTAAATGGGTATGGAGCCCAAATGCCAAGTTGCTCCTTTCCCCTGCCCAGGAACCCGCAGTGGCTCCCCATTGTCCTCAAGAGAATGGAGAATGCCCACATTTCTCAGCCTCTGTGTCCTGTGCCCACCCCCTGCCAGCCTCACCTCTCCCACACACCACAATCTAGCCACAAGGACATGTTCCCCAGGCTCTTTTCAACGCCTGCCCTTTTGCATATGCTGTTCCAGCTAGGTGGAATACCCTTCCCTGTATTCTGCCTTCCTTATCTTCAAGATCCAGCTTGTGTGCTGCCTTTTCTAGAAAGCCTTCCTTGACCATGGTCGGCTGGGCCAAGGCCTTCTTCTTCAGGGCTCCCACAGTGACCTCTACTGCCCCCAGCAATTCAGGTGCTGACTCCTAAGCCCGGCTCCACTACTTAGAAGCCGTATGACTTTGGGTATGCTACTTAACCTTCTAGGGGCTCAATATCTTCATCTGTGAAATGAGGATAAAAATAATGACTAACTATTCCGTGCATACAACTGACTATTGTGCTAAACATTTTACATGAACGAATTTCATTTCATTGTCATGACAACCTCATGAGATGGGTGCAATTCTCTCCAGAACTCTGTTTTGGGTGCTGCTACATTTCTTCTTCCTAGAGCAGTGCCTGGCACATTGTAGGTGTTTAAGAAATATTTCTTGAAAGAACAAACACATGCATCTCCATTTTACAGATGAGGGCACTGAGGCTTCTGGAACACAGAAAGCGCTCAGTATATGCTAGTGAATCTTTTTTTTTTTTTTTTTTGACCATGCTGTGTGGCATGCGGGATCTTAGTTCCCTGAGCTGGGATTGAAGCCATGCCCCCTGCAGTGGAAGCTTGGAATCCTAACCACTGGACCGCCGGGGAATTCCCGCTAGTGAATCTTATTAGTATCATTCTGGCCGTGATTATTGTTAGTGTAATTCTCAGTGTCCATGTCAAGCCAAGTTCAGGGTCTGACCCAGGAGAAGCCTGGCAGGGGGTGAAGGTTGGTGGGAGAGTTAAAGGACCAAGCTGTAGCATTCTATGCTCTAATCAGGAATTCTCTAAATTCTCCTAGGTCTTGCTCACCTCCCAGTTTTGCCCCACAGCCTGAGGTGGTCCACTCAGAGAACTCCTGCTTATCCGTCAAAGCCCAGTTCCAACACTGCCTCCTCCAGAAGTTTTCCCTGATCCCCCTAGCCTGGTTTGAGGGGCCCTTTTCTGGGATCCCCAGTGTTACCTCCATTATGGAATTTGTCACCCCAGTCTGTATCTGTCACTCCCACCAGACGGGGGGCTTCCCTGGGGCAGGGACCTGGCCCGATTCCTATCTGTGACTCCAGCTTCACCCAGGACATTTGGAAGTGACTGAATGAACAAAAGACCAACTCGCAGGCAGCCGGCAGCATTCACCCTGGATGGAGCAGATTTATGGCTGACTGTAGGGCCTCAAAGGGTGACAAGAACCTTCTCGTTCCAAATCAAGAAGACACCCCCCCCAAACCCATCCTCAGTATTTGCCTACCACCAGGGGAGAACCCTCGTATTCCCCAGCCCGGCCGAGGGCCCTCTCACCAGTATTTCCGTGATGTCTGGGTCATCTGGAGCCCAGGGTGGGATGGGCACGGGCAATGCCAGTAGGCTGCTGTCTTCCACGGTTGAGTCTGTCCCCGAGGAGTCGGTGGGCTCCATGGCGGCCAGGTTGAGCAGGGACACATTGGTGCAGGCTGAGGACCGTTTGAGGTTCAGGCAGCAGTGCATTGGCTCATAGGACATCCGAGGCTCCACCCTAGGGAAGAGAAACAGGCAGGAGGGTCAAGATGCCACCCCAGCAGGGTATGGCCCCTCCCACCTCCCTGTCTGCACATTCCCTACTCTCTCTGATTTCAACCTCGCCGCCTGCTTTCTTCTTTCTCCTCCATCCCTGCTACCTGTTTTCCTCCCTTTCCACCAGCACCCACAGTGGGACTTCTGCTCTGTCAGAGGCAAGGGCTGGGTGCTGGGACCGCCCCCGACAGGGTGTGACAAACCCACCCGTGGAAGGACACAGCCTTCTTTTTCTTTGAGATCCCTTTGACTGGGCTGGTCACACCCCCAGGAGCCTCGGGGACCAGCTGGGAGCGACTCTCGACCCCCGTGGGGGGGTCCCCAGCCTCATGGATCTCTTTGGACTGCCAGATCGTCTTCACCACCACGCTCGCCATGGCCTGTGGAGGGCCCGGCTCCCAGGGGCTCCTTCCTCTGAGGCTCTCCACCTACACTGACCACTGACCCTCAAGGTCCCCTGTCCCCACAAGCCTGCCTCATAAAGGACCCAACCACTGGGCCCCAGTAACGGGGGGTGGGGGCACAAGGGTGGGGAAACGTGACTTGGCACGTTCCCCCGGGGGGCTCAGTGAACTCTTGTTCAGGATTCTAGTTCTACCCTGATCTGTCCCTCCCCTTCAGAAACACAGTGAAATTCCTTCTAGTCCAGAACTTACAGTGGACGGACCCACTGGTTCTTGGGAGGGGTCCAAATTACCTTTCCCTGAAACTCACTGTGGGGTCACCCAGCCCCCCCATTCAGACTTGCTTCATCATGTACTACCTTGGATTTGTCACTTTCCCAGGATCTGGGGGACGATGAGGATTGAATACCAGCGCTGGAGGATCTTACATTCTATGGGGGGTTGGAAGGGGACAGGCAGGCAATAGAAACAAACCAAAAATACCAGATGTCCGAACGTGATATAAAGGGAATCAAAACTGGGTGATGGCCATGTGGACATTTGTCAAAGCTTGTCGATTTGTGCACCTGGGATTTGAGCCTTTTATCGTGTGTGAATTCTGCTTATTAAAGCATCTAAGCAAGCACTGAACTATAGTTCATTATGTGCATGTTGAATATTTGGAGTTGTGTTAGACCCCGGGACTGCTGTAACAAAGTCCTGCAGACTGAGCGTCTTAAACCGTAGCTAGTTATTGTCTGACAGTTCTGGAGGCCAGAAGTCCAAGGTCAAGGTGTCAGCAGGGTTGGTTCCTTCTGAGGCTGTGAGGGAGAATCTGTGCCTCTCTCCTAGTGTCTGGTATCCTTAGGTGTTCCTTTGTTTGTAGATGGCCATCTTCTCCCCGTGTCTTCACACTACCTTCTCTGTGGAACTGTTTATCTCTGTGTCCAAATTTCCCCCCTTTTAAGGAACTGGACATATTGGATTAGGGCCCACCCAAATGACCATGTCTTAACTTGATCATCTGTAAAGACCCTATTTCCAAATAAGGCCAAATTCACAGCGACTGCGGGTTAGGACTTGAGCATCTCTTGCAGGACGTAATGCAACCCGTAACAGCGTTGATGAGTACCGATATCTGCAACTTTGTTTTATTCTGTTTTTTAATTGTTTTTTTATTGAATAAATTTGACTTTGTTGTTGTTGTCGTTGTTTTGTTTTTTGCCACGCTGCACGGCTTGTGGGATCTTAGTTCCCTGACCAGGGATCGAACCTGGGCCAAGTCCTAATCACTGGACTGCCAGGGAATTCCCAGACATATAGTGTTTATAAATTTAAAGTGTGTCTTACTTTGATACATTTATATATTATAATATTGCCATTGTAGCTATATTATCACATCATTATAGCACAATATTGTTATCTATATTCACTATACTCTGTATTAGATCTCTATCGCTTATTTATTATTTGTTGCAAGTTTGTACCCTTAAACAACATCAATCGTATCTCCCACACCCTATCTGCTGGTAACCACCATTTTAATCTTTTTTTACAGGTTAGACTTTTTAAGATTCCACATATAAGTGAAATCATACAGTACTTGTCTTTTCTGTCTGGTTTATCTAGCTTAGCATAATGTGCTCAGGGTCTGTCTGCGTGGCTGAAAACAGCAGAATATCCTCTTTTCTCACGGCCAGATAATATTCCATTGTGTGTATATACCACCTGGTTGTTTCCATATCTTGGCTATTGTGAATAGTGCCATTTGCAACTTACTTTGAATGCATTAAAAATACATGATGGGAAAAAAAAAATACATGATGGGGGCTTCCCTGGTGGCGCAGTGGTTGAGAGTCCGCCTGCCTTTGCAGGGGACGCGGGTTCGTGCCCTGGTCCGGGAGGATCCCACATGCCGTGGAGGGGCTGGGCCCGTGATCCATGGCTGCTGAGCCTGCGCTCCACAACAGGAGAGGTCACAACAGTGAGAGGCCTGCGTACCGCAAAAAAAAAAACAACAAAAAACATGATGGATTTGGACTTCCCTGGTGGCACAGTGGCTAAGAAACTGCCTGCCAACGCAGGGGACATGGGTTCAAGCCCTGGTTGGGAAGATCCCACATACTGCGGACAACTAAGCCCGTGCGCCACAACTACTGAGTCTGCTCGCCTAGAACCCGTGCTCCACAACAAGAGAAGCCACCACAACGAGAAGCCCGTGCACGGCAACGAAGAGTAGACCCCACTTGCCGCAACTAGAGAAAGCCCGCGCGCAGCAACGAAGACCCAATGCAGCCATAAATAAATAAATATATAAAATTAAAATAAATAAATAAATAAATTAGGATAACTTGGAAAAAAAAAAAAAAGACTCCTGCGCTCCCAGTGCAGGGGGCTTGGGTTCGATCCCTGCTCAGGGAACTAGATCCTGCATGGATGCTGCAACTAAGAGTTCACGTGCCGCAACTAAGAAGCCGGCAAGCTGCAACTAAGGAGCCCGCCTGCTGCAACTGAGACCCAGCGCAACCAAATAAAATAAATAAATTTTTTAAAAATTTTAAAAAAAGGGGCTTCCCTGGTGGCGCAGTGGTTGAGAGTCCACCTGCTGATGCGGGGGACACGGGTTCGTGCCCCAGTCTGGGAAGATCCCACATGCCGCGGAGCGGCTAGGCCCGTGAGCCATGGCCGCTGAGCCTGCGCATCCGGAGCCTGTCCTCCGCAACAGGAGAGGCCACAACAGTGAGAGGCCCGCGTACCGCAAAAAATAAATAAATAAATAAAATAAAATAAAATAAAATAAAATAACACATGATGGATTGATGGATGGAGGAAGGGAAGGCCAGATGGACTTGTGATAAAGCGAGTGGAGTAAAATGTTAATGCCAGCATTGGGGCGATGGGGTATATGGGTGTTTGCTGTACAGTTGTTTCAACTTTCTGAATATTTAGAAATTTTCATTGTGAAATGTTGGAGAAGAAACTGGGTGATGGGGATGAAATTGTATCATGGGGGGGCTTGCTTTAAAATAATCCAGTGGGGGGTAGGGAAGTCAAATGCAGGGGATTATAAATGAAAGAATAAAGCTCATATGTTGATAACTGTTGGAGCTGGGTATATGGGGGTGCATTATACCCTTCTGCTTTGCAGGGGTATATTTGAAAATTTCTATAACACATTAAAAAAATTTTTTTTGTTTTTATTTTTTGGCTGTGCCACATGGCATGCGGGATCTTAGTTCCACAACCAGGGTTTGAATCCAAGCCCCCTGTATTGGGAGTGCAGAGTCTAAACCACTGGACCACCAGGGAAGTCCCTTAAAATTTTTTTAATTGAAGTATAGTTGATTTACAGTGTTTCAGGTATACAGCAAAGTAATTCAGTTTTATATATATATATATATATATATATATATATATATGTATATGTGTATATCTATTCTTTTTCAGATTCTTTTCCATTCTAGGTTATTACAGGATAGTGAATAAAGTTCCCTGTGCTATATAGTAGGTCCTTGTTGTTTGTCTATTCTATATAAAGTAGTGTGTACCTGTTAATTTCACATTCCCAATTTATCCCTCCCTCCTTCCCCTTTGGTAACCATAAGTTTGTTTTCTATGTCTGTGAGTCTATTCCTATTTCGTAAGTTCTTTGTATCATTTTTTTTAGATTCCCCATATAACTGATATCACATGATATTTGTCTTTCTCTGACTTACTTCACTTAGTGTAATAATCTCTAGGTCCATCCATGTTGCTGCGAATGGCATTATTTCATTCTTTTTCATGGCTGAGCAGTATTCCATTGTATATATGTACCTCATCTTCCTTAGCCATTCATCTGTTGATGGACATTTAGGTTGCTTCCATGTCTTGGCTATTGTAAATAGTGCTGTTATGAACGTTGGAGTGCATGTATCTTTGAATTAGAGTTTCGTCTTTCCCGGATATATGCCCAGGAGTAGGATTGCTGTAACACATTTTTTTTTTTTTAATACTGGATAACATGTTCAAGTACGACACGGAGAGGTCACTTTATTTTTTTATTTCTTTATTTATTGGCCACGATGCACGGCATGTGGGATTTTAGTTCCCTGACCAGGGATTGAACCCATGCCCCTTGTGGTGGAAGCACAGAATCTTAATCACTGGACCGCCAGGGAAGTCCCGAGAGGTCACTTTAAATCCCTAAATCCAGAAGTTCTCTCCTAAGAGGGGACATTGCATTGAGACCTGAAGGATGAGCCAGCCATGGGGAAAGCTGAGGTGGGCAGGGGGCAGGAATGAGTCTGGACGGTCTTAATGGCCAAGAGGAGGCCGGTGTGTCTGGTGCATTTAAGCTGCGGAAGGACACAGCTGACTGATGTTGCAAAAAGCACGCTGAGTGGCCAGGATGGAAGCAGGGAGAATGGCCAGGGATGTCGCTACAAGGTTCCAGGCAAAAGATGATGGTGATGGTGGCCTGCACCCGGTGAGGCAGTGGGGATGGGAGGAGGTGGCCGGCTTTGGGGGTGTGTCCTGGCTTTGGTTTGGGGTGAAGGACAGGAGGGGGTCCGTCCTGGCAGGAGTGCCTGGGTGATTGATGGTGGGCCCAGCCGCCAAAATGGGAAGACTGGGGATGAGTGTAGCTTTTCTGGAGAAAATCAGGAGTTAATTTGTTCAGGTCAAAATCTTAAAAGCTATTGTGGTTCAACCCCTGAGCAATTCGAGGAGCTCCTGGGGTTCCCTCTTAATGCTCCATCTTTTTTTTTTTTTTTTTAAGATTTGATTTGATTTTTAGTTTTTTGGCTGTGTTGGGTCTTCGTTGCTGTGTGCGGGCTTTCTCTAGTGGGGGCTACTCTTCGTTGCGGTGTGCGGGCTTCTCATTGCGGTGGCTTCTCGTGTTGTGGAGCACGGGCTCTAGGCACGTGGGCTTCAGTAGATGTGGCATGTGGGCTCAGGAGTTGTGGCACGTGGGTTCTAGAGCGCAGGCTCAATAGTTGTGGCGCATGGGCTTAGTTGCTCCGCGGCATGTGGGATCTTCCCGGACCAGGGCTCGAACCTGTGTCCCCTGCATTGGCAGGCGGATTCTTAACCACTGAGCCACGAGGTAAGTCCCAATGCTCCATCTTGAAACCAAAAAGGACTTGTGTAAGCCTCATCTAGAACCCATACATGAACTTGTTCATGACCTGGTCTTAAAACTTAGTAATGGGTCACCTCCTCAGCCCCTGAACCCCAGAATGGTCTTACTCAAATCCCGTCCTGTAATTTTTTGCTTTCCAATAATGGCCTTGTGGCTGCTGAGCACTTGTGACGTGGCATGGCATGTCTCAGCTGAGCTGTGCTATATGTATAAACACCAGATTTCAAAGACTTAGGAAGATAAGAATGTCAACTATGTTGAAATAATATTTGGGTATATGGGGTTAAACGAAATATTTTATTAAAATTCATTTCACCTTTTCTTTTTACTTTTTTTTTTTTTTTTTTTTTTGCGGTACGCGGGCTCTGGACACGCAGGCTCAGCGGCCATGGCTCACAGACGCAGCCGCTCCGCGGCATGTGGGATCTTCCCGGACCGGGGCACGAACCCCTGTCTCCTGCATCGGCAGGCGGACTCTCAACCACTGCGCCACGAGGGAAGCCCAGTTTTTTTTTTTTAACGTGGCAGGAGTATACTGAAAACTGTACTTGTGGCTCCCACTGTATATCTTCTGGAAAGTGCTGCTCTAAATGGGCAGGGATGAGTCCATGAGCTCCTGTGGGTGGCGCCACATCCACCCCCCACGCAGGATGGGACAGTCCCAGGGATTTTCAGGTTAGGGTGGCTCTTCCCAATCTCACTCCTCATGTGTGCCCAGAACGCCTCTGCTTTACAGCCAATCTTAAAAATTAACTTTTGGCTAATTTATGAGCTCTAGAGGGGGTTGGGAGAGGACTGAGTTCCCCCACCTACCATGACAGAACTTAGAAACAGGACATCTTTCACCCCACAATAAAAACCCAGAGTTTACTCTATCTGGCTCCTGGTGGGCTCTCGGTGAAGGGTTGAAGGTGGTGGGTGAGAGGGAGGTGGATAGTTAAAGCTGGGAAGTGGGTCGCTTTTCCCTCTTCCTTAGGGACAGAATTTTCCTGTTCTTCAGACTCTGGATGTCTCTCTTCGCATCCCTCGAAAAGCAGACTAGTACCAACCCCACTACTGATACATATATATTTTAATGGCGTT